GCAGTGCATGGATTAACACACAACCACACAATAGGGTGGGAGAGGGTTAAAATTCTAAAATGTGATCTAGGTAGGTGAAGAGAGAGATTGATTACTGAATCCTTGTTCATCAAGTCTACACCAAACACATGCAATAGGAATGAGTCATCACTCATACCTGAAATATGGAAAATACTATTACCAATCAAATCAAGTGAAAAATAATGGAACCATATAAATGAAGTTAGGAAGTCGTGTGAATACCTTGACATGATTATGAGCAATAAATTGTGCTCGAAAAGTCATCAGTAAACATTACTGTGTAACACTGTGAGACTTTATTAAAACAAAAATTTACCCATAATGGAGTTTTGGGCATTGAATTAAACCACTTAGACTCACCTAGAAACGGCTTCATTCGGCGTATAAGGTCCGCTGTGGATTTCTTAACTTAATTCATAACTCTGTCTATTGATTTATTAATTTCCTCATATGGTCCTGTTTGTATGTTAGTATTCACCTTGTCCAAATAGTCTGATTTATCTAATACTACTTTGGCGTTTCCATTGTCTGACTTGGTGATTACTATGTCCTTGTTGTTCTTAAGGTGTTTCAGGGCTTCTATCTCTGGTTTTGTTAAGTTAGGCTTTCCACATTTTCGGCGTTTTAATGTAAGTGCACGTTGTGCCCGTACTTCGCCATTCATTGTTTTGTCTATCCCACTTAGTGGTATTTCTATTATAGTAGTGATACCCTCGGGTTTCAGATTGTCTAATGAAACATTGAAATTTAGTCCCTTTTCTAATACACTTATTTCCGTAGGACTTAATACATGTAATGAGAGATTGATAACCCACTTTGATTTATCGATTGCCGTTGACTTTGGATTGTTGATTTCATCATTCTGAGATGAAGATTTCTCCTCTAGATTTTTCGAACACATCAACTCGAAGATAGAGGCAATTCAATTCACTTATGAATTGGAAAGTCAGGAAGGGGAACTTCCAATGTTAGATTGCAACTTAAAAAGGAAAGAAGATGGGAAGTTAAACGCTAGTGTTTACAGAAAACCCACACATTCAAACAAACATTTGGGCTTCCGATCATCCCATCCTATATCAGTAAAAATAGGATTGGTAAAATGTTTAAGTGACAGAGCACAAAAACTAAGTAGTACCAAGGAAAATCTAAGACAAGAAATGATACACATAAAAGAAGCTGCCAGTCACGTCTCATAAACCGTTAATGCCCAGCTCTTGCTACGCTCGGGCCCACGCTGTTCCTTGCAGTTTTTCAGAAACGCTTAGTAATAACGGACGAAAAACCAAAACACCGATTGGCCGCTTGGGAATTCTTTATTGTAACACCAACATATAAAAAATATTTCTATTAAGGTTTCTGATGGTTTGCTACTGACTTCTTTCTGAACAGCGACCGATGAGACGATGACTGTCGTATTGATGCCTCCGCGAAAATTGGGGAAGTTGATTTTGAGCAAACAACCTAGAATTGATCGTTCAATCTTCAACTCCATTGACAGAAGCCTTGAAACTTAATAATTATCCTGAAAAATTAGTCAGGAAATATGTAAGGAAATCTAAAAATAAAATAAATAATGATAGTAGCGATAGTGATAATCATAATAATAACACTAATAATGATAATAATAATAGTGATAATAATATTAATGACGACACCAACAATAGGGAATCTAAATCATCAGTAGTGATTCCATACAAGGAAGGAACCTCGGAAGCCTTACGCAGAATCCTTAACAAGGCAGGAATAAAAGTGGCTGGCACTCAAACCCACAAACTCAACTAGAAACAAGCTTTGTCGGTTAAAGGATCCTGTGGAGCCTTTAAGACAAAACAATTTAGTCTATCTAATATCCTGCAATGATGGTGAGGTCAAATACATAGGTCAAACTGGTAGAACAGGGGCAGTCACACTAGCCGAGCACAAAAACCTAGCAGCAAAATCTAGATTAGTTGACCCAAATAAGTTAAGAAATATAGAGAATAGTTCAGCTACAGCACTACATGCAGTTACACACAACCATACAATAGGATGGGATAGGATGACAGTTTTAAAATCTAATGTCACAGGATGGAGGGAGAGATTGATAACAGAAGCTTTGTTTATTGAATCAACTGAAGAGAGTACGTCGAATAGGAGTGATTCAACACCTGCCCCAGATATCTGGAAAATTCTACAACTCTAACGACTAATAGGAGAAAACAAAGAAAACTATAAAACTCAAGTTTCAAAGTCGCGTGATTACAATTGATATGATTATGAACAATAAATTTTGTTCGAAGCGTCATCCAGTAAATAATACCGTTTCACTGTGTGATACATTTAATAAACCAACCATTATGGAATTTCCTGCTGCCACAATGTCCAAGTTTTACACATATATTTTTGGTGTTGTTTTGCTAGCCCCATTCCAAACTTTCCCTCTTTATCCGAGCTGGCAGCCGGCTATAAATCTAGTGAGCTGGTTAACTGGCCAAGTTTGACTAATCATAGACTACCTTTAAATACCGAAGTAGTAAATAAGAGCTATCTTTTCTCCTATCTTCCATGTTGGGGATATGCGTAACTCAATGAACTATGGACTAAAAGCACAACTTCCAGTCTTATCGAAGATATTGGAAGGTCCGATAAGCGACCGCAGCATATATTGATGGGAGTCACATAACATATGAAGGACTCCAAGGTTTCAGGGGAGGCAGGTCCTGTAAAGTAAGCCTTGTGTTTGTACAGAACGACCGGTTGTCATTTTGGAATATTAGTACTCCAGTTCATGTAGTTGTCATTGATTTTTTGTAGGCAACCAACACTTCGACCTGATCTTAGCCTTCAAAAATTAGGCCAAGTGGATATCGGTGGCCAGCTCCTCCAATGGTTGGTTGACTGGCAGTATCTATGTGCCCTACAGGACGCACGGTAACATCTACCGCCGCCAAATGGGTGGTACGTGATTACGAAATACAGACGTACGATTAGGCACTGTACTTTCTAAATGGTTTATAAGGTTCTCTTTCCATACTGAACTGCCCTCTGTAGTGAACGCCCTCTCGTATGTTTGACTTGCTTTCCTTGCTTTGTGTACCCACCGGCGTTCTTACAAACTACATGTGCAACAGTAAGTTCTATAGATCAGTGTTTAGGACAGGTATTCTGATGCAAGAAATAGTTACGAAAGACTACTGATAAGATTCCAAAACTTGGGCACTGTGGTAGAGTATAAGTCCATTATGGATAAGATTTTATTTTGATTAGACACAGTGTTACACAGTAACATATATATACATGTATATATATGAAAGAAAAAGTTGTGTGAGTACCTTGATATGATTATGAGCAATAGTTTGTGCTCGAAACGCCATCAGTTAATATTACTGTATAACATTGTGTGATTTTATCAAAATAAAATCTTATCCATAATGGAGTTATGAAAGACAACCAAGGCTGAATGCAATCTCGTACCAAAATTAATAAACTCCTATCATTCTGACACAGACGAGTTTCGAGAATGTCATGGGGTTGCGTTCTACGGTCTTCAGTGTTTTTGTTACTCATCAAATGCCATCCAAACTGCCGATGACGTAAAGCACTTAAGGGCGATTAAATATTTATATAACTTCTTTGCAGGGTTATCTGAAGATTCTGGAAGGCCGGCGTGAGCTAAAGCTGTGTTTTTCAAATTTAATTGATGAAAATTTTATTATTTTTTTATTCCTTTACGTTCCCAGTGGAACGTAGGCGGCTTCAAGATAGAGGCTCAAATTTTCGGTAGCAGTGGTTTTCATTTTTTTAAGGGATGGGTTTGCTAGCCTCATGGCTTGCCCTCCTCCTACCAGTCTTATTACTGGCTTAACGAAGTAAAGGCATGCGTCTGTGGCCGGGGATCGAACCGCGGACCACATGAGGCGCGGTCGGCGAGCATTCTACCGCTGTGCCACCGACGCACACAGGTAATGAAAATAAGAAGCACTTATCACTGTCATTCGAATAACGTCGAAAGAAGTCGCTTCTTTCACTCATCTAGGCAGCAGTCTTTCAACTAAAGATGGCTGACACAACTATATGCTTCAATGGCTCAGAACGTAAGTCACTCAGCACATGGTAATAACTCGACCTGTGCAGCGTCACAGAATGACTTAGGTCTATTTCTGACGAAAAAACTGGATACAAGTGTGAATTATCCAGTGAACTGGCAAGGGCACAGACCATTATATTTTTCGCACATCAATAATTAGGCGCTCACATTATTAAAATTTGTGTAAGACAGTATGAAACATGTATATGACAGCACCTTAAAATGTATAATAGCATTGCTCTGCCTCTACTTAGTCGGGAAGCAAGTCTTTTGGAAAGGGCACTAGGAAGGCAGACAATAAGGATCTCTGGAATAAAGCATATGACGCCAGACTGGGGAAAATAGGCTTTGCAAGGTTATGGATGACCACTGACAGGCAAACAAAGCTATTGTGCCATGATAGAATCAACTTGTCCCTCGTGGCAATGTGTGAATTATTGTGGACCGAACGAAAATTTTTTTCTCTTCGAGTTTGTCTTCCCTGAAACCCTTTACCAGAAGATTTTCCCCGTGCACTCTCGGTGAAAAACTTTAAGATGGTTACTGTTAGTCTTTCAGTAACATATGGATTATGTCCCCTTGGAAACTCACATACTGCGCTCTGTCAATAAAGATCATCTGAAATCGTCCTCTACTCCTTCCCAGTCACACTTGCCTCATTCTTCTCACTACTCTACGTATTCAGTGATATTAGATAGTTGTAGGCAATCGACAGGAAGCCTTGGACCCAGGTTTCGTGCTAGTTGGCACTCTAAGTATTCATTGGCATAACTTTCAATGATTAAATTTTATTGTGTATTCGTTTCTTTGTTAATATTTTTAAGTCTGCATGAGCCATAGATAACTTATCCCCTCAAAACTCTCATTCGAGTCAAGGAAACCTACGGCATTGACAGACTGTTCAGAATTTTACCGAAGATCAGGAACTGTTACTTTGAAACCATTGGAGTGGCCTAACGAAGTCGATCCGGCTTACACTAGCTCGTAAAATGATACTGAATACTGGAGGCACATTGAATATGTAACACCGCCAGTGTGGTTATACAACTAGCTTCGTTACAATATGAAGCGGCAAGCTACCGACCAAGTTGAGAAACCGACAAAAACTAAAATGTACGTTGTCAAAAACACTTTTGGGACTAATAGCGTAATTCAGTCATTTTACTTAAAGGCTTAGGCGCTAAGACTGTACCTCAGAAGTTTAAGAATGGGTATGGGACATTTTTTTTCAACAATTGCAATTGTGAAATAGTAAAAGTTACTGCCTATGATAAAAAATTTGAGAATCCTGAAAATTTACTTCTATGTCTTTTACATGAGTAGATATCAGGGAACTTAATACTCCCCAGCTAGCATTTTTTTCGGGCGCATTGCAGACTTTTTGGGGCAGACTTTGGGACACTGTCCCAAGTAAGTAGATCTGCCCGAAGGTTTTGCCTCATTGAGTCTGCAATGCGCCCGAAAAAAATGCTAGCTGGGTCATGAATGCATGGTTCCTAAATATCTATGCTGTGTGATAGTTTCTTCCTAGGCCTGTTCGATTTGAAGCTTCTTAACAACATCGTCATGACTTCCAAAGTAAACAATGTGACTGAGATCCTGTACAGTTCTCTTATTAGAAATAACTCATGGCCTAGGTGGTTTTATAGTAATTAATATATGTTAAGTATTCAGGCAAAACTGTTATGTCAAAGGTGTGGTTTTGTCTGTCAGTCCAGATCTTGGTGGATGAACACCATGATTCAAATTCCCATTACAGTTTAACATAAAGGCACATTACTACACTAGTCGGGAGTTATTTCAATTATTAAGTGCTGACTAACTAGGAATTTCTTTTGCCAACCTGTGTTCGGAGAAGTACTGCGTTAAATATCCTTGCTGAGCGGATAGTTTAGCATAAAACTGATCTCGGAAGTACATCAGTTCTGACAACCCCATTTTGAACGCAGAAGAAAAAATAATGCAGCAATAGGGCAACGAACATGTGTGTAGAAGAGACGATAGTCTCATGAAGAAGACGTTTAGGAGGTTTTTGGTAGGATGAATGGATTTTACAGTTATTTAAGACTGCAAGCTATGTTACCCGCACTAGTTATTATCATCTCGAGACCCCAACCAAATATTCTATATTGATCTAAGTGGCTTCAAGCAATATTTGATAATTTCATGAATTGTCACTCTTTAACCCAATCGTGCCTCAACTAAGATTGCTGAGTGGAGAGTGGTGGTTCAGGGTGTTTAACTCGATATTTGAGTCACATCTCAATATTACTTACCTTGTTCCACCTAACGTGGGAAATTCTGCAACCACGTCATACATTAGGGAAATATGACAGCGAACTACTACGCCATATGTACCGTTTCATTAAGACCAACACTGTTGGCAACATTTTGCACAAATGATACGAATGGCTTGTCGAGGAGGCTACTGTATCATTGACTTTATTAGGCTGTCGTTAAAATATTAAGCAAAGTTAGTCATTTCATCTCTATTTGGGTTTTTTGGCTGTAGACACAAATCACAGGTCTCAACCGTGTCCTAACTACTGGAGTTTTGAGAGTTAGGTACCACTAAGTAGTATTTTCACTGAGGCACGTCCAGCAGACGCTCTAATATTGAACTACAGTTTCAAATAGTACTGTCTACGTAATCTTATCATGTTCGCTTTGCATCCCAATATTGTATTTCTTCCCATCTCTTATGAAGATAATGACGTCAAAATAGTGCTTCCTTCCCGTAGGCTTGTAGTTTGATTTCTTTAAAAGCATTTTGTTGCATTTAAGTTGTGATTTGTTAATCAACTTAATGTAGGTTTAGAGGGAGAATTAAATTTTCTATAGTTTGGTTTGTAAGGGTTAGTTTCGCTTTTACGAGTTTGATCACGGATTGATATCAGTTAGAGAAGCATTGAATACCAGGGAGTACTGGACAGCTGTTTCATCCTAGTTTAGGAATCATCGGCAGTACGCACCCACTGGGATTCGAACCCGGCAAGCTCGTATACCATTCAGCCACTGGGACCCAATTCCATGGCTCATGAATTCCAACTCCTACTAATTCGCGATTTAGCGCCACCCTAACCAATGTGTTCAGTGGGACATCCATCGTCACACGTGACATCTGGATGAACCTCACTGGTCACGACTTGTCACTAGAACTCCAGGAAACTCCATCCTGCAGCCAGTAGTCACTAGCGAGCATCAGATTAGTTTTCGTATAGCTTGGTTTGTATGTTTGTGTGCGTTCAATTTCTTTTAGTAACTCGTTACATTGTAAAAAAATATATGTTATTTGATGGGTAATGCTTCACACTAACTGCTGTATTGTCGTATTGTATCTATTTAATGTTTTAGGCGCCAAACAACACTGTTTTCCTCTGATAATCCTGCATCACAGCCAGTAAACGAGGAATTATGGGAGACTACAACATCATTACTGGTCTACACACATCCTAAATGTCAACCAAGCAGTAAAGTAGAACCAAAGTTTCAGAAAGCTTAATGTCTCTATCAGATTTTAGGCTTGGATTTGGATGGTACAGTTATTGTCCCATCATCAGGCAAAGTTTTCCCAAAAGATTATACAGACTGGAAGTATGATGCCAGATATGTTTCAAATGTAATTTTACAGGCTGATCAATAATAATGTTGTGCTTAAGCTCAAAGAATATTTTGATAAAGGATATAAGATTGTTTTGTTATCTAATCAAGTATCCAGATTGTGCATTTTATGATAATTGATTTGGTTATTTCATAGAGAGGCATAACAAAGGGTTATCAAGATATACCTAGTTTTAAAATAAAAATACAAAATATTGTAGATAAACTGAACATACCAGTTCAAGTAAGAATGAGCATTTTTCTTCCTCATAATTACTTTTATTTATTAGGCTATGTTTTCTATACTAGAGGATAAAAATCGTAAACCTCTTACTGGTATGTGGGATTATCTTGCGGAAAAAGGCAACTCTGGAGTGCCTATTGATTTATCTGAATCACTGTATTCTGGAGGTAAATTGTACTTTTGTTCTGTTATATCTTTTCAATAAGGAGGATTAAATCTCTTATCTACTTGATGTGTGAGGTGGCTTAGGCAAACTAATAATTTTTTAGTACTTCTGTGTGAGTCCAAGACCTGCGGAATGAGATAAGATGTTGATTGACTTTGTGTATTTTTGGAAGTGTGTGGGTGGTTGTTACTTCCCGGCTGTCTACAACATGGAAGTTAGTTGATTCTTCGGATACCTGAAACAGAAAGAGGGTTAGTGTTCCAGAACCCAGCGGAAAACTGCTTGAGGCAGGTCACACACAGCCTGCATGAGGTAGTTTCTTGGATTGGTTCCTTATTAGTAAACTTACCTCCGGTTACAGACCACCGTAGGGTAAGTCGGGATGCACAGTTGTTGGAGTCGACCTTTTCTAACCCCCTCTCTCCGGAGTGGAGGGACAGCATAGCTGGCATGCTGGTCATCTGAGGGAAACACCTCACTGCTGTTGCATCCCTATTCGCATAGTGTAAAAAAGAAAAAAAATTCTTACACAATCCCGGTAACTGGTTTTAGTCTAATCGCTATCCTAACAACCTTCCTGGCATGGTAAGACCTGCAGGAACACTAGTTCCGGCCAGTGTAGCCTGTTGGGTTATTGTGATATGCAAGTCTGACCACCACGTCATGGTAGCAGCTATCGGTTGGGAAGGTGGTGATAGAATAATGTTTTGATATCATTCGATATTTCAGTAGGAATCGTCTAATACTTCAGTTTGATTGTTTAATATACTCGGCATTGATTGTTCACTTACAAATGTGTAGCTGAAAGGACTTCATTTTTCTTTCACATTTGGTGTCAGGCTTATTTACAACTATATTTTTCACTTATAGAATTAAAAATGTTACATGTTTTCTCACAAAAAATGCGCGTTTTTAACACACAGCAGCCCCTTCTGTCCTGCTTTATACAGTATCTGAGACCAAAAGATGGTTAATCACTATGAGCTTCTGTACATATAGCAGTACTTTATTTGACGTTGAGATTAGATGGGGTGCTAGGTAAGCAAGGTGAGACAATATGACTTGGCTTTTCATTCTCCACTGATGATGGACAGAGCATGTGTTAAGCGCACTGAAATAGGATTAGATTAGACAAGAGTAAAGGGTGTAAAAGCTTACTATGGAATTTATTCATGAAGTCATACACTACTAATCTGTACCACCACTTATGAAGATGTAAGTTACCTGTTTGGAATCTTTAGGAGACTAATCACCAGTGATTATTGGATACGTGTGTAACATCATTCTGAAACACTCACGATATTGATTTTAACTAGAACTTTGAGCATGTTAACTACTCATCATTAAATTATTCTCTCTCCTAAATATTCTCATCTGGTGAATTTTATTACAATAGTGCTTGCTTCCTCTATGTGCTAAGTAACTTATGTTGGTATAAATTTATGAATATGTCAGTTGGTCGTACTTGTTGTTAAACTTAGAGAGGTGCCAGGATTTCATCATGAGTTGACGTCGGTTAGGGAACCACTACAGAACCTCGGAATACTAGACAACCGTCTCATCCCAGTTTGGGGCTCTTCATCAGTACACACCCAGCAACAGGGTTCGTACCCATGGCCTTCTGGTCAAAAGGTGACCTCGTAGACCATTAAGCCACTTAGATCCGATCCAATTGTCAGCCCATGAATTCCAACTTCTGCCAACTTGAGAAGTGCCACTAGCTAAACTGTGAGTTATCACCAGAGGATTGTTTTTGATGTTCAACAATGCATTTATTGCCCTACTTCCATAGATCTGTTCATTTCTTCTTTTCGTCTAGATGTTTTTATAAAATAATCCATTTCACAGAGATTATTTCGTCACAAAAGTTCTTACGGGAAGTAAGTATAAAATCGTATCTTAATGAGGTGTACTTATATACGTGATGACTTGAGGGTTGTGCATGATTTTAAGGACTTACGCAATCTTGCATATCACACAGCTGTGTAGAGATTTGGTCAGTGTCAAGGCAGATTTTATCATGGACTGAAGCCAACTGACGAATCATCATTGAAAATTCGTGTAATATGAAACAGCCATCTAGTTGTAGTCTTCAGTTTTTCACCCTTAACATCCTTAACATTGGCTAGGGGGGCTATTATATCACAAATCAACAAAATCTAAAATCCCCGAGAAATTAGATAGTGATGCAGTGACTAAGTACTATCGTGCTCAACGGATAAATAGACGGTTCTAGAATCGTTCCATCCATCTTGTGGTCGTAATTGTTTATGGCTGAAGAGTCATAAACGTGGGTGGTGCAACAGTAGTTAACTGCTCCTTGGTACTTATTTTGTCATAAAATATGCCTTGAAATCTTAAAAACCAGCTTGTAATCACATCAAGTGATAACTGGCAGTCTCATTGATTAAGAACGAAGGTTCTAACACTCAGTATTGCCGTCCGTCGTCTGCCAAAAAGGTCTTTAGAAACCCTCAAAACAGATAAGTATGAAAAGGCAATTTATACCAGCCGCTAACGCTTTCCGTGAAACTGTCAGCGTATGCCGTTAAAAGAGTCAATTCATTTAATTTGCTGTGTTGGCCGGCAGGAATTTAATTGATTTCAAGTTTGGTCACTGATTAGCATCAGTCAGAAAACTATCGAGAGCCAGAGAGTACTGGACTGCTGTTTCGTCTTATTTAGGGACTCTTCGGTGGTGCGCACCCATGATCCCACCGCAAGGGATTGGACCCAGGACCTTCAGGTTATGAGAGGTGGGTCCACTAACTATCCAGCCACTGGGACGCAATCCAATGACCCATATATTCTGACTGGTGTCAATTCACAATTTATAGCGCCACCACTCCAGTGAAAAGTTGTTATCAGTGGGGTTCACTGGGTTGGCTTCAAGGGCAAATACACACCGGATAACATTGGCTGGCGTTGAGGCCGCAAAACGCGTATTTACAGAAGGTAGGGAGATGCAGACTTCCGGGTTAGGACCCTCGGGACTCTAGGAATCAATGGCTGGAGACAATAGGTGACATGGCTCAAAATCGTTGTCAATGACCAGCGCAGATGTATTCAGTCTCTGTAATCTTTCATATTTCTTTCTACCATTACTCATTCTGTTTCACTCTCATACTTGACAAACGCTATTGATTCTCTTCACCCATCTTCTTGTCTACCTTTGTGTGCTATTTGGAACGTGGCAACTCGAAGATGCTGCACTTCAGTGCGAAGTTCTATGTTGAATCCAAACAGACAGAGGATTCCGTCCCAGTGGCTGAATGGTCGATGGATTCGCCTCGTAACCTGAAGGTCTTGCGTGTGGTCCCTTGCAGGATAGGATAATGGTTGCGTACTCCTGGAGAGATTCACATGACGAGGAAACAGTTGTCCAGTACTCCCTGGTTTTCAGTAGTGTCAATCCGTGATCATATTTGAAAACTTAATTGGATGCCCTCAAATAACTCAGTTTGATTTAGTTGAAGCGAAAATGTCTGGTACTTCGTATCATTTTCCGGAAAGTAAAGTGGTGTTTCAACTCAGTGGCTTCCGTGAAATAAAGATATATGTGCGTAGAATATAATTAAACTTCTAAGTTCCATTTGTGGTGTTTTTTACTGGACGAGGGTAACCATGTTTATCTGCAACCGATTGATGAGGATACTCTACTCTCTACTAGTCTGAATAATGTCTCATCTAACGAACTTTAAGAGAATAAACATTAAGCAGTTTTTAATCGGGTTAGTGACTAGGAGTGGAATCCAGGATGCTCATTTCGTCCTCTCGGGACTCGTCACTGGACGCACCTGCATTCCCCAGTGAGTGATGACGTTCCCACCACCGAGGCTCGAACCCAGTGCCCATAGTTTCAAACGCCAAAGCGTTGTCCACTGTAGACCACTTGGGCCACGAGAGCCACCTGAGACTGAGCATTTCGGTCCAATCAATCTAAGGGAAAATCTAAAATTCAATTAAATAAGTAAGTAGTTTTGTTATTTAGGCTTAAGAATAATTAAATATCGAATTTTACACGTGTGAGGTGAATTTCTTGCACTGAAATATCGTCTAGTGTTTACAGGTAAGTATATATATGACCTAATGCAGCGACGGACCTACATTTTGAAATGAAGTGTTGTGCTACAGCCACTTACATTTACCTCAATAACATAACAAGGGCTAATATGAAGTGACAAACCAATATAGATCCCTATATTTATGGCATTTTCTGTATACTACTTACGTGCGTATAAGTAGTCAGTTTCTTTTACACAAATATTAATTGGTCATGTAATTGTAATCAATGTCGGGTGTTTAGTCCTGTTTGCTGACTGAATACTCTCTGTCAGTTTTACTGTGTTCACCAGGATAAGTGGCTTATATTTGTGGATCACTGTAAACTGACACTTACTGTCTGGAGTCAATCGACAAGAAACCCTGGACCAAAGTTTCTTGCTTTTTGTTGGTACTCATCATGATATATGTGTCAATAAAGAAATCTTAATTGATTTTATGATTCCTTCTCCTAACCACTTTTGACAATTCTCGAGAAGGAGATGGTGGACTTATCGGGTCATTATACCTACGTAACTGTCTTCAAAACTTCAGTAAGTGTACACTGAAGCTTCCAGATTCGGTAATTTATCCTTCAGCTTCACTGGAATTATACAATGCTTGGTGAATTTTAAACATACTGTTGGTTTCAGTTGTCTATGATTAATATTTTTGTTTTCCCTTTGTCTTTAATAATGTTACTAGATTCCCCACTTCATCCTCTCACCTAAAGTCCTCTTTGGCTGGCTTCGTGATTTCCAATAGGCTCTCATCTTTTCGTCACACAGTCTCCTCCATGTCACTCTTTGACCAACGCCCAATTCGTCATTTCCCATTCGAGTCTCATTCGAGCGATGTCGCTCAACTGTTTTCTCAATGTGTTTGATCCATGTGCATTTTCTTTAGTTGGTTGGTTCGTTTCTAGAGTTATTTGTTGCTCATGCTTTGTGGCAATCTCGTCTTCTGTATCAAGCGAAGGCAGTTGTTGACGAAATTTCGCGGTAGCCTTTTCCTGTACCATATAGAAGTGACTTAATATTAGCGTTAGAAGTCCGAGTTCTGCGCTAATTCTGACTGAGTTCAGAAGATTTCCAAACTGATTTTAGAGTAGTGGAGGTGTGCATTGTCTTTTGGATTCTGATTTTGACATCCTCATCGTTGGTGCTTGTAGTTGAAGTTATGCTCCTTAGATAAGTAAAGGAAGTGACCTCTTTCAAACTTACCCTGTTGATAGTGATGGGTGCTTGTTGTTATTGGTTGGTTGGTTGGTTGGCTGGTTAGTCGTTTCCACCACCTCCATCTCTATTATGTTCACTCGAAGTCCTGTTTTTTCTGCCTTCCCCTTCTATCCAGCTTGTTGGCGTCTTCCTGTAAGTCTTCGAGTTTATTTTTGACATTAGACATAGATCATCCACGAAATCGAGATTTTTCAGAGTGTTCTTATCGGTCAAACATATTTTTGTCTTCTTCTTCCCCACGGCCTGCCTTATGAACCAGTCCACAACAATCAAGAATATCATTGGTGCTAATAAGCAGCTTTGTCCTACTACTGTCCTTGCTTAAAAGGCTTCCTTTGTGAATCACTTGTCATATTGGCATTGCCATATAACTGTTGAATGATTTTGATGTGGTTTTGTTCTCTGAGCTGGATGGTTAGTTTGCGAAGCTTTCAACACCTTACTGGGTGACATCTTCAGCGCATACTTCAAATTGAAGTATGCGCTGAAGATGTCACCCAGTAAGGTGTTGAAAGCTTCGCAAACTAACCATCCAGCTCAGAGAACAAAACCACATCAAAATCATCCACCTGAGCTACAAATCTTCTCTATAATATCTAAACTGTTGAATGAGACCGATAAAGGTTAGAGGCACTTCGTATTATACTAGTAGAGGTAAAAATCAATAATGGCAATCATCATACCTATTTATTTATTTAACTTTTCAGATGCTGCTGGTCGTCCAGCTTCTGGAAATCGTAAAAAAGATCATTCGTGTTGTGATCGTTTAGTAAGCTTTAAATTACCTTAAAATATTTCTCTTCATAATTTACATAATCTTATGATAATGTTACAGTCTTTAAGCATTATTTATGTGTGAAGCTGTTAATATGGCTCATTGCCTTAGGCATTCAATTACCCTAAAGAACACTGTCTTATTTTCTAATATTCAGCGGGGGGCGCGGGGGGAGGGGCAGATACATAGTATTAGTCTTTGAATAACACACGTGGTTGACAACTTATCGAATCAAAAGGAACTGTTGTTCATAATCATCATCTTTTCGCTTACAATCAAGCAGCCTGACGACTGTATCTCTTTCCTTAGCTTGTCACCTTAACAAATGACAACCAGGAATGTTCGTAAATGCCCTGATATTTTTTTAAATTCAATGTACATTTTCCCATCGACTGATTGGACTAAAGTGCTCGGTCTCTTGTTGACATGTCGACTCCTTGTGTAGATGCTTGTCATGTAACATAAAGTCAATTGGTGAACAGTGGATGAAATCTAAGAGCACTGGGTTCGAGCCTCGGTGTGTGGGGGGGGGAATGAAGGTATATCCTGATGACGAGTCCCAAGCAGGACGAAATGCGCGTTATTCTGGATTCCACTGCTAGTCACAATCCACTGATCGCTGTGGTATTGTTAAAGGCGAATGTGACTGACTCCTCTTCACTAAATAATTCAATTTTGCTATGACTATAATGATAATCCTGTCCAGTGATTTTCTTCTTGTGGTTTTTTCATAGAAAAGTGGAAAATAGCTATTAAAAGTGTCTAACACCTGTCAACCGATATTATTGTCAGTATGTAGTGAGTTTTTTTGTATGGCTAAAACATCTCTTATGTACATCAAAGCGATGATAGTTAAACCTGTTAGGTAGGATATCTTATCACTTTTCTTCCTTTGGACTTACATAGAATGTGGTATATTGGCCTAAGCATTCGACTTTTGAGCCATTGTATTCTGGACTCGAATCCCTGTCCACCTAATTCAGCTTGAATAGACGATCAGGAGAATTCATTGTTTACAGGATTTCATCATGAGCTGATATTGGTTAGAGAACCATTGGAAAACCTGGGAGTACTGGATGGTTGTTTCGCCCTGGTTTGGGACTCTTCATCAATATGCACCCACCGGGGTTAGAACCCAGGACCTTTTGGTTACAAGGCGAGCTCGTATACCATTAAGCCACTGGACTCGATCCAATTGCCATCCTATGAATCCTAGCTTCTGCCAATTCATGAAATAGCGCAACCGCTAGCTAATGTCTTCGGTGAGTATTTGTCCTCACACCCGACGCGCTGTACCCTACTAGTCACGACTTCCCACTGGAATCCCAGGTAACTACCTACCTGAATAGGGCCAGTCGCCAGTGAGCATCTCATTGATATTCAGGTGCTGGTTTGTAGGGATTTGGTTGATTGGCTACAGGATTTCATTGTGTTTTTAAATTGGAAAGACATAGGTCAGCGAAGAATATTCCTTGAGTTACGCCACTTCAAACGTGTATAGTGTTGTTAAAGGTCAACTGTTACAAAACATATGAAGTCGTGCATGTCAGTAGAAATAATGAATAAATTACGAAACTTGGTCAAGTAGTTTGAGCAAAGACATTTAGTTATGAATGTCACTTAGAAATGGTTGCTTCAAACGCTTGAGAAATGAGATTACTGTCCATAGTAGTAAGAGACTTAGAATGTTTATACGTTCGCAAGGAAAGAAGAAGAAACGTGAAAATCCCCAAATGAATATGGATGACCAGTATTAAGGAACTCTGGCAGGTAGTCAGGGAACCGACAACTTACTATCAGACGGATATACTGAATGAAATAAATGTGTACTGGGCATAGGCTGATGAAGCCGCCCAGTAATATCACGAGCAAGTCCATCGAAGGGAGTGCGAATTACGACAAAGGATTCGGGCATGAATCTGAGGGTGACATAAAGGAGATGGTGTGTGTGTGTGTGTGTGGAGGGGGGGGGATAATAAAAGCTGATGGATACCCGGGTAGCTCGGTAGACAAGACTGCAGAGAACAAAGCACAATGGAGATGGGCTACTGACACTACTGATGTTCCACTCTGACGCACTTCAGAAGTAACCAAAATAGAATGATTGTATACATTCAATGATCACTGAAAAATAGGTGATGTCATATATATCTAGTCCTTATCATCGGTATTGACTGAATTCTATCAGTGAAGTTCGCAACTGGGGTCACCAGTGAAGGTGACCGCTTCCCTTTTTATTGACTGTAATATCTATACAGGTCTAAAAATCAGTCAAAATGTAGAATAATAGGCGTAGTGCTTTTGTTCATTTTCGTTCTATATTCATTCACGTCTAAATATCGAACCGCTTTAATGCGAAATATACGAACAATCAATACTTCTATGAGATTTTTAAATTACTTCCTTTATTAATTAACTAATGAACATTTCATTCGTCTGGTTTCGACTCGTTCGGTTTTCTGAGCTCAGTTTAACCAGCTAGATACACTTCTGGTCAGCTCGGCTGTAAACAAACAAGCTAAACAGTCATCTTGTGCTTAAGATCACTGCGATCTTTAATTTTGACATCAGCTGCTCCCAGCTACTCATATCAGTTAGTCAGTAGTATATATCTTCCTGCAATTATGCCAGGGTTTTCTTCCTGTCATTTATGGGACGAAACAGGTCATATATTGCGATCTGAATAATTTTTAGTTTCTAAGCGAAGCCGTCATGAATTTTCACCTTGAATTGTATGTAATCTGCAAGTTCCCAATTGAAGTCTGTGCGTGTGCAGAACACCCCTGTGGCATGGATTAGAAAGGTCATAGAGAAGGTCAACAGAGAAAAGATTCTAATTGTAACTTCACTGAAGCATTGTTAAAAGTCATGTAAGTGCCCGTAGAGGTCATCCTGAATGTTACTTAGAAATTGTTGCTTCAACCGCTTGGGAAATAAGAATACTGTCCATAATAGTAAGAGGCTCAGAATATGTATGCGTTAGCAAGGAAAGAAGAAGAATAGGAACCCTCCCCCCACCCCCACCCCGAATGAATATGGATAACATACCATATCAGTGTGCAAGTTAAAAAAGAAACGTTTGAGGCTACTGTAGTGAAAGGGATTCGACAAACTGCTACTATATAGGCAATTCAGTCTCTTCCATGTTTATGGTAAAACTTTCTTCCATGGACATTATAGAACTGTATAGATTTGAAGCGAAGCTGCGAAAAAATATTCTTTATTAAAATGTTTTTTAAACTTAATTTGACATGTGTATTTTTCATGCATTGTGGGCGGTCATTACTTTCCGACTGCCTGCCCCCTCTACATCATGGAAGTCGGTTCTCTTTCCTCAAATATTCGGAATTTTAGTATTACTTGACCGTAGATCTCAAAAGACAACTCCTTAGGGCCGATCACAGATAGTTTCTCCGAAGTGGTCGGTAGAATTTTGTCTGTATGAAGATGTTATCTCCGGCTCTACGCCTACCCCAAGGTGGTGAAACCTCGGGATATACAATTCTCAGAGTCGACCTTTTTCTATACCACTGCCTCTACACATACCGAAGAGCAAGCATAGCTGACTCTTTGATGGTCTGAGGGTAACACATTATATTGCTGTTACATGCCTATTCTCCATCACTGAAGTAGTGTAAGCGACATAAACTATATTGGTTACTACTTTTAGTCTATAATCGCCATTCAAACGACCTTTCTTGAATGGTAGCCCGCGCTGGTAGACTCATTCCAGCTATTGGAACCCGTTGTGTTATTGCGATATTCAAACCCAGTCATTACGTCAAGGTAGCCAGCTGTTAGTCTGCAGCTTGGACCACTGAGTTGTGTCACCAGCCCTCACACATTGATTGTGGCTCATAGCCTGGCACATGAGAAATCTGTTCCACGTAGGTGAATTCTAACTGGTCTCCTTATAAAAGTAGGGAATAAGAAAGGGGGAGTAATAAAGATGCAAGAGTTAACAAATTGTAAAGGTTGAGGTTAAGGGATTCTTCTGGTTGTATTAAGTCCTTAATGTAGTAGTTTAAGCGAAACATCTTCTTAGAAATCGTTAAGTTATGAGATGACCGACTAAGAAAGGTCAGAAGAAAGAACTTTCCCAAAGTATCTTACACTTGACTTAGTTGTACAGATTTACTAATAAAGAGTCCCAAAAAATAAGACGAAAGATCTATCCAATTCTCCTTAGTTTTCAATGGTTTGTGATGAAATCAACTTTGAAAACGATGAAAGTAATGCCGTACACACCTTTATTATCCCCTTTGAATTTCTCAGGAAATGATTTTGTTCCCATTGGATCTCAAACAGATGGTTTTAAATCCTTTGACTGTCTCTAGTAGACTATAAGGTTCTAAGAACCTTATTAGAAATGCAGCTATAGCCATTTTCAGGAGCCTCAAATGCAATGAATGCAGTGAATCCCCCCTTTAGCCGATGTTAAGTAAATAATATTTTGCTTTGTTTTATTGCGTCGGTAATTCATTCATCTGTAGAATGCTTGGCAACCACGCCTTACATGGTCTAGAGTTCGATTCCCGGCCGACGTATTCCTAAACCTCGCTAAGCCGACTACATGGCCGGTAAAGAAGGACTGTTGGTCATGCGACTAGCAACCTCCATCATCTTCCCTTAAAATAAACACCAGTGCTAACCGAAACTTCAAAGCTCTAGCTTGAAGCCGCTAGTTCCACTCGGAACATAAAGGAATAAAATAAATCAATAAAATAGTTTCACACACATCCAGTGATCATTTGTCGGCTGTAGAAATTGATATGTAGCTCAGCTGTAAAGAAGGCTTTCCTCAGTGATCTGTATAAGCGATTCTTCAGGATCTCAGCTGCGGTATCACCTTTAAATTCAACACTCATAAATAGCAGTTTTTTTGGTATGGTCTTTCAGACTTTTCCCTTAACTTCATGTTTTTCTCAATAAATCTTGGAGGATATCCATTCTCTATGAGAACTTGTCTGAGTCGCTCCAGTTCCCCATCGGTTGTATCACTGGGACATATCCCCTTATTATTGAAGATAAGGAGTGGATCAGATATCTCTTTCTTTTCAAAGGGACCCATTCCATGTTGGTTTCTTGTAGATTGATCTTTAAAGAGAACCATCAGATCACCTTTTGGGAAAAACATCCCAAAAATGGAATTCCGAGTTAATCTCTGATCCCAACGTGAACTGGATGGCATGATGACAGCTGTTGAACTCTTTAGTTATCACTTTGATGTCGGTACTATCGTCGCATATGATGAAAGTATCATCCATATATCTTTGTTACAAATGGAAACTATCGATATTAGGCCGTAGAATACTATTCTCCAATCTTGCCAAGGAACAGTCTGCAAGTAAAGGACCCAATGGTGACCCCATTGTCACTCCATCTCTTTGTCTATAAATCGTGTTATTGAACTTGAATTGGACATTTAGAGTGCACCTCAATGATCTTTGGATGTGTGAAGGATAAACTGCCGCTTTGGACCACCTCAATATGTGTCAATAAAATAGTTTAGAACAACACATTTAAGCGAACAATATTGTTTTTAATTAGATCTCATCAGGCTTAACTTTATTATGCATAAGTTTACAAATAAAAATCCAAATATAAACTAATCATGGTGTTTTGTCTATAGGACAGATAATAAGATGGTGAGTATAAATTGTGCAATCAGTCATAATAGTAGTAATGATAATATTAATAATAGTAATAATGATAATTAAAATAATAATAATGGTCTTGTCAATAATAAGGATGAAAAAGTGAGGCAATCTGTGATGACACGAATAATGAAAAACAGTATGATTAAACAAACAATTGTTCAGGTGGAAGTAGTCGATAAAGGCTAGTAAAAACAAATGAACCGATTAAGTAGTGTTAGATTGTAAGGGAAGTAAACGAAACACGTTTATAATGAAGATAAGATTAGGGGATGATAAGAAAGGGGTTGAAAATATAAAGAAGGGGTGATGTAGAAGTCTTTAGTTGGTTGTCATAACAGGCCAAGGGAGGGATAATGGCTGTATGAACTTCTTTTGAATGCATAGTTTAGGTTTAATAGTTTGAATGCCTATCGCCTCAGCTGTGTGCAATAGACGAATACGAAGTCTATTAGAAAGATTCGGTGGGATGCGATGAATTACTTTGAAGGCTTTCGTTTTCTCGACTACATGACCACTATCAATTAAATGTGACAGAATTGAGCTACGGATTGTTTTTGTCTGTCCTTTGCCAAACCACTATGGGAGAAGTTCACTAACGCGTTGGCTAAGCTGTCTAGTAGTAAGCCCAACATAACTGTCATGACAAACATAGGTGTGCTGCGTAAGATGTTCTACGTATACTCCTTGAAAGTCTTTGGAATAGAATCTCACTTGATAAGTCACCGTTAAATTGTAACTTAATAAATGGAGGTTTCTTGTGTACAGTCAGAGTCTCAGGTTTTTTTCTCTAATTTTTTCATATGTTTCTTTATAAAACTACTCGGATAGCCCATCTCCGTCAAGGAATCGTGAATATATTCAAATTCCTTTTGCAAGAGATCATCCGTACATATCTTTCTTGCTCTGCTTGCAAGACATTTCATAACATTCCTTTTATATATAATGGGCACGTCACTCAGGAAGTGTGTCTATTGCCCTGTGAATGTGCTTTTTCTGTACGCACTTCTCCCAAGTGATCCATCTTCTCTTCCACTTAGCAATACATCCAGGAAATGTAGTTTGTTCTCCTGCTCTTCTTCACAAGTAAAGGTAAGCGAAGGGTGGATGTTGTTGAATTTCCGCAACAATTTGTCTATGTTAACATTCCCGTCAGTTAAGATAGATGATGTATCATCGACATATCGGTAATACATATTCAACTCCTTGATGATGTCCTTCAATTTCCCGTTTTCAAGTTTTGCAAGAAAGAAGTCAGCTAATATTGGGCCTAATGGTGAACCACTCATAGCTATTCCATCTACTTGTCGATAGTATGAATTCAATAATTCCCTTACAATCTAACATTACTTAATCGGTTCATTTGTTTTTACTAGCCTTTATCGACTACTTCCACCTGAACAATTGTTTGTTTAATCATATTGTTTTTCATTATTCGTGTTATTACAGATTACCTCACTTTTTCATCCTTATTATTGACAAGACCATTATTATTATTTTAATTATCATTATTACTATTATTAATATTATCATTACTACTATTATGACTGATTGCACAATTTATATTCACCATCTTATTATCTGTCCTATAGACAAACACCATGATTGGTTTATATTTGGATTTTTACTTGTAAACTTGTTATGTTGCTGCTGCTGAGTGGTTAATAGTAGCATTCCCCGTCACCAAATTATTGTTATGTACTGGTCGAGAATTTAATAGTCCTGACGCAAGAAGGCCGAAATCAGAAGACCACTAGGTTTGCGATTATACTTCTATTTTCCAAAACACCAGGTGAAGCAATAAGTGGTATCACACCAAAGTGTCACACAAGATTGTGAGAGCAAAATATATATGAATGTCCAGACAAGTATGTGAACAAATCAATAGACAATCTTAACATGAATGGCTAATTATAATGAAGTATCGATCCATATGATACATAGCAAAATATAGCAGACATGTCAACAACCACACATATAATATGGATATATGTCACCAAGCAACGGACTGTCAACAAACACTCATATTATATAGAATATAAGGGGAATATACCTTGTTAAAGGAGACAGGTTCATCAAAGTGAAATGGTCATAGACTAAGCGAGCAAACAGAAGAGAGACCAACATACACACACGCATATATATATGTGGATACATATCAAAACTTATGCATATTAGAGTTAAGTCTGATGAGGGCTAGTTGGAAACAACAATATTGTTCGCTTAAATGTGTTGTTCTAAATTTTACTATGGGAATATTTAATATAATAAAATAGTTGTTTTACACTGCATTGTTCTGTTGAGCATTGAGCAGCTGAAAATTAGTCGTTTTCTTCTTGTTCTCAATCCCAAGTTCTATCCCAGGTTTTATACTTACATTTCTATTTATCCTCTTTATTAAATTACAGTTTGCTTTGAATATTGGAATACGTTTTGTAACCCCTGAAGTGTTATGGTTTGATCAACCGGATACAGAAAAATTTGAAATGCCTAAATTCAATCCAACTGAACTACTATGGTCTACTGATTTGGAGGCGAATAGCAAGCTGCCATTAATTGAAAAACCAAATCAACTAGAACTTATCCTAATGGTTGGATATCCTGCATGTAAGTTATTTTTCTCTGTTAGACAATTGATGATGATAGGGGTAGGGTGTGAATTACAAAGTATTGTGTTATAGTTCTAATTGATATTAGTTGGTTAGAGGTATTATTATTATTACTGTTCCCTTGGATTCCTAGTGGAACATAGGGCTTCAACTGCACGTCTCCACTTGCCACTTCTGTCTTCTGCTGTACTTTTCACCTCCATCCATGTTAGTTCATACTGTTTCAACTCCTCTTCACACGATCTCCTCCATGTCACCCTTGGGCGTCCCACTCGGCACTTCCCTTTCGGCCTGGTTCCACTCGAGCAATGGCCTGACGCGCGCGCGATGTCACCCAGCGGCCTCCTCAGCGAGTATCCAATCCATCTCCACCTTCCCCTGCATATTTGTTGGCTGGCGATTGGTTCTTGTTTTGTTTGTTCCCATAGTTTGGTTGGTTGTTGGTGATTCTTCCCGGTCCGGCCATCTAATCTTCAGTATAGAGCCAGCGAAGACAGTTGTTGGTTGATAAAGGTCTGCAACAGGCTGTTGGAAATATTCTTTGTGACCCATTCACTGAGTCTCTGATCCGTATAGAAGAACTGACTGAGTTGACGTTGTTTGTATAGAAAATCCGACCAAATTTTGTTGTTGATGCTGAGTGGAGTGACGAAGATTTCCAGGTTGGTTTCAGGCTGATGAATGTGTTTCTCGCCTTCCCGATTCTCGCTCGATTTGACACCCTCGTCCGTTCCGAATTCCTGTATTTGAGACAATGCTCCCTAGATAAGTGAGTGAATGAAGTAACCTCTTTCAAATCCCTCCCGTTGATGGTGATTGGCGCTGGATGTTGTTGTTGGTTGGTTGGTTGGTTATTTTGATAACCTCCATCTTGTCTATGTTCACCTGGAGTACTGTCTACGCTGGCTGCTTTTTCGACCAGTTTGTCGGTTTTCGCTTGTAAGTCTTCGACTTTGTGTGACATCAAGCATAAATCATCCACGCGCGAAATCCAGGTCTTCTAGGTTCTTCACGTCGGTACCAGTACAGGATATCCCTGTCTTCTCGTTTCCCACTGTCTGACGCATAATCCAGTCAGTCCACCACAATTAGGAATATCATTGGTGATAATAAGCCAGCACCCTTGTCAGACTCCTGTGTTTATTCCAAACACCTCGCTGAGTTTTCCGTTGTGGATCACTTGACATGTGCCGTTGTCGTACAGCTGTTGAATAAGGTTGATGAATATTTGGGGTATGCCATAGTACTCGAGTAGTTTCCAAATTACTTCACGATCAACGCTATCGAAGGCCCTCTCAAAGTCTATAAAGTTGAGGTAGATGTTTGATTGCCATTCCATGCTTTGTTCTGTGATGATGGTGCGTAGAGTTGCGATTTGGTCAGAACATGATTTGCCTTTCCTGAATCCAGCTTGTTCTGGTGGGCGGAGTTCTGTCTCCAGTGCGTCCTTTACTCTCTCCAGGATGATGCGACTCAGGATTTTACTTGGCGTCGACTGGAGCATGATTCCTCGTCAGTTCTTGCGGAGTGGGGCCTAAGTCGCCCTTCTTTGGTAGTTTCACGAGGTAACCTTTCCTCCAGTCAGTAGGCACCTTTCCCTCCTTCCAGACCTTTTGCAATAATGGAGTCAGCATGTCTGCTGTAGTCTCTGGGTCCGCTTTCAGTGCTTCAGGGGGTATTCTATCTGGTCCAGCTGCTTTTCCAGCTTTCAGAAGCTTGATTGCATTCAAGACTTCAGCTCTCGTCGGAGGACTGGTGTCAACTTGCAGTTGTGTATGCGCTGTTGTTGGTCTTTCTGGACTAGTTGCAGGTGATGTTCGGTTCAAGAGTCCTTTGAAGTGATCCGCCCATTGTCTAATCTGTCTTTCTTCCTTGGTAATTGGGTTCCCTTGGCTGTCTTTTATAGGTTTCGCTTGTGTTGATCTCTTCCCGGATAGAGACTTGGTTATCTGACATAGTGTCCTCAGGTCCCTTTTGCCTGCTGCCTTCTCAGCTTCAGTGGCCAGATTGTCTTAGAATTGCCTTTTTTCCTTCCTAGCACTCTTCTTCACTTCTTTGTCCAGTGCTGTGTACGTTGAGCTCAGAGTCTTTTTCTCTTGTCCGTCTATGCATTGAATCATTTTGTCTTTCACCATTCTCCTCTCTTCCATTAGCTTCCAAGTGTCCATTGAGAGCCATTCCTTGTCTTGTCTCTTCTTTCTTCCTAGAACCGTTGAACACGTTTCGTTGCGAATCGCCTTCAGAGAGTTCCAGTGGTCTTCTAAGCATGATTCTTCAGTGATGTCTCGTAGTGTTTCCTGCTTTGCTCTGACAGTTGCAGTGAAAGTGTCCCTTTGTGGTTGTGTCCTTCAGTTTTTGAGTGTTGAACTTTCATTGTGGCCTATCCCCAGCTATTCTCGAGGCTTTTAGCTTCACCTTGAAAGTCCGTTGTACTAGATAGTGGTCTGAACCCACATCTGCTCCTCTCCTGGACCTTGTGTCCAGTAGGCTCCGTCTCCGCTTTCGTGAGATTGAAATGAAGTCTATCTGGATTTTGGTGTGTCCATCTGGTTAAATCTATGTCGGCTTGTGTTTGAACACACTGGACTAGTTGGTTACTGTAATTCCAATTCCCTTCGAATCACTAAAATGTTGGAGTTGTCTATTACCCCAAACATAAAAATACACAAATGATCTCTATGGTTGATATGTATCCACATATATATTTTTTCATGTGTGTGTGTGTGTATGTTGGTCTCTCTTTCTGTTTGCTCGCTTAGTCTGTGACCATTTCACGTGGATGAACCTGTCTCCTTTAACAATGTATATTCCCCTTATATTATATATAATATGTGTGTTTGTTGACAGTCCGTTGCTTAGTGACATATATCCATATATGGTGGTTGTTGACATGTCTGCTATATTTTGCTATGTATATATGGATCGATATTCCATTATAATTAGCCAATCATGTTAAGACTGTCTATTGATTTGTTCATTTTGAATATTCGCTAACACACTTGTTCGGACATTCTTATATTTTGCTCTCACACACTTGTGTGACATTGATTCTCCTTGTGTTTGGAAAATAGAAGTATCATCGCAAACCTAGTGGTCTTCTGATTTCCGTCTTTCTTGCGTCAGGACTAGTAAATTCTCGACCAGTACATAACAGGGGTTGAGGAGATGAGAGAATACGGGCAGTTGTCGGGGCCAGGTGAAGAGGATTGTGGGGAATGGAACAGAGTGGAGATGTGCTGTTGAAGACCTGTATTCCACTTGGAGCCCAAAGGAAGAACAATTATAGAAATAATAATAATACGCTTAATCTGGATTCAATTGCGATCCCCCACCAACCAACCGACCAATAGGATACCATTCTAACTTAAGGGCATCATCATCAAAGCGTCCGTACCAATATATTGATGCTGAAATGCCAGCGGGAAACTCTGATATATACATAACAACTTTATCAAATACTGGATCCATTTACCTTTTTTTGCAGTGGTTTCCATATGCTTGTGATACAAGTATACAAGTATTTTATCACTTTAAATTCGAATCTCTCTTCATGTGTTTGTGTGTGTGTGTGCATGCGTGTGTATAGCTTGTCAAACTAGCAAACAGGTTTTCTTCTCTCTCTCCGTATCAATCACTTAGTTATCCCGAATCATGACATCATTTATGTTTCCTTTCTCTTCTCCTGATTCTATCTTGAAAAGTGATTATGGTTATTTTGTCAGGTTATGTTATCATCAACATCAACATTATCAATAATCGTATAAGTAAAAGAAAATTGATATGATTGACATTTATCAAGTTCATTTCACACAATGATAAATCGATATGTACACGTATATGTGTATATATTTATTTTTCATATCACTTGTCCATCATTTGGCGAAATAATTGTGAATGTAATAACCAACCACACACACACACACAAACACTCAAAGAGGAATACGTGTATATGAATAAATGTCTGGATTCCAGGACTAGATAGACAGATGTAAAAAGAAAAGCAATGATAATTTAAACTCGAGGAGAAAAAGGCCACAACTTCAGTGTTCTGTGGAGTGTGAATAACATTTTCTGACCTGAAAGTGGAATTCGATATCTTTCGACCGAGAGGTTCAATGAAAATGTTTGATCGTGAAGGGAATGCTGAGACTGATTAAGGCACTCTACTCGAACTCATGCAGTCAGCCAGGTGAGCGCCTACGGAGAGTTGTCATCTGAAGCTGTCTGTCTGTCTGGGATTCAACATAGAACTTCGCACCGAAGTGCAGAAGTTCGAGTTGCCACGTCCCAAATACCACACAAAGGTAGACAAGAAGATGGGTGAAGAGAATCAATAGCGTTTGTCAAGTATAAGAGTGAAACAGAATGAGTAATGGTAGAAAGAAATATGAAAGATTACAGAGACTGAATACATCTGCGCTGGTCATTGACAACGATTTTGTCACCTATTGTCTCCAACCATTGATTCTTAGGGTCCTGAGGGCCCCAACCCGGAAGTCTGCATCTCCCTACCTGACTCAGTTTAACTGTCAAGGATTTCATGGATTGAGGCCATGTTTTTGTTTGGCCACCACTTACTCTTTTCCAACCTGCACCTATATCAGCTAGTAATGTCCGTCGTCAGGGGAGGCGATGGTTAGGCATGCGCACCACGTGACCTAGCCATCTTAGTCTATGTAACTTTATAGCCTCGTCGATTGATTTTCTCTCTTTGCCCAACACTCTACGCCTAACGTCAACATTACTTACCTTATTAAACCACCTAACGTGAGAAAGAGATTGTAGACATCTATGATCAAAAACAGTCAACCTTTTCATGTCTTCCACTCGTATTGGCCATGTTTCAGAGCCATAGAGAAGGACGAAGCGAACTGTTGAGCAGTACATACGTCCCTTGGTTGATAGCCGGATGTCACGCCTACGCCAGAGATGGTGTAAGTCAGCGAAAGCAGCTCGAGCTTTTTGGATCCGTGTTGAGATTTCGTCGCCAATCAGTCCGTTGGTGCTGATACAACTTCCCGAAATAGGTGAAGTGGTCAACATGTTCTATCACTTCACTCCCTATCACTAAGCTAGGAGTTGACGTAGTCCAGTCCTGTAGCAGCATCTTACATTTTGCAGGGGCGAATCGCATGCCAAATATACGAAGATTGCTGCTCAAGGTGTTCTGAAGACTCTGCATTTTGTCAGCATCCTCCCCTAACAGGACTATGTCATCTGCATATTCTAAGTCCATAAGACTATTCCCTGGTAACAAGTCGATTCCTAAGTCGTTACGTTCAGTTAAGGATACTTCCATTAGCATATCCATGATGAAGTTAAACAGGAATGGGGAAAGTGGACATCCCTGTCGGACACCACTGGTTGTTATCAATTCAGATGACAATTCCGTTTGTTAGGAGGGATGCCCACTGTCACCATTTCTGTTTTAATGTCATCATAGATGTATTAACTGACTTCAGTGACTCAGGAGTCGACTTGTTACTATCAGGCAATAATCTCGTTAACTTAGAATATGTGAATGATATGGGCCTCCTAGATGAAGACTCTGATACAACGCTAAAACTTCTGGACACATAGAATTGCAATCTCAGAATGCTTGGCATATGATTCTCACCCGCTAGTACTGGACTACACTGACTCCTAGATTAGGGAGAGTAAGTGAAATGGTAGAGCGTGTTGACCACTTCACTTATTCAGAAATTTACATCAGCCAGGGTCAATGGGTTGATCTCTGACGAAATCTCAGTACGGATACAGGAGGTCCGTTTAGCATATGCCAGTTTACAGCATCTCTGGCTTAGACATGGTATCCAGCTAATCAGCTAAAGTGCATGTGTACTGCTCAGCAATTCTCTCTGTCCTCCTTTATAGCTGGCTGTGAGTGTGATATGGCCACTGAAAGTGGAAGACATGAAAAGCTTGTCTACCTGTTTTTGATGATAGGTGTCTATGTTCTATCTCCCGTATGTGTTAGGTAGCATAATAGGGTGAGCAGTATTGATTAAGGTGAGGATTCGGTTGAATGGTAGATGAGAAGGGAAAATCAATCGACGAGATAGTGATGTTACATCGATCAAAAAAGATGATTAGAACATGAGTTGTTAGTCATGCCTAGCCAGTCATCGATCGCCTTCGTCGGCAATTGGTAATGTTAGCTGACTGATACAGGATGGATGAGGTTGGAAAAGAGTTGGCTAGTGGTGGCGGGGGTAAATCAAAAATGGCTTTGTCAGTCAGTGAAATCCATAAGGGTTAGTTTGAATACATATCGTGTGCTTGAACTTTTCGATCGCTATCACCTTAGCTATTCCCAGTCAGATCCCTTGATTTCACTCCCTTTGAAGGGTTTGATCGGATCTTGTAAATAACTTTGTAGGACTTTTGATTCAAACGGAGCTGAATGTCTGAATACACTACCAAATGTTCCGTTACTGAACTATATACACCCTTGCTCTCTCTCTCTGCTTGTTAGTCAGGCTGTATAGTGTTACCCAGAGCTTTTTTAATAAGCGGACGCGTGGTACGGCCAATATACGCAGCTTCACAGAAGCAAGTGAACTGGTATATGCATGTTGAAGTGGCCCAATGCAACCGGTTGTCTTGTGTACATGTGTTGGCTGAACAGTTTCTTGCACTTCAGCACTGGGTGACACGGGTTTGAATCTCAGTTGGCACATGATGAATTCCTTCAAGATTGCAGATACACCTGCTTTACTGACTGATGAGAATGCCAACAAGCATAAAACCTAAGTGAGGTAGAACTTCTTGCGGATTGCCTCCAACCATCTAATAATAACAGCTCAGAGTTGTTCTCTAACACACATTTTGAAAGTATGTGCATGGAATGAATTCGATCAAGACCAACATAAAGGACGAAAGCCAAGACAGTGATTACTCTCTAGTGTTCAATCAGTATGCCAACTAAAGTCGATGGGGAGATATTATTATAACTAGAAGTTAATTGGTGGAGGGTGACTAGCAGTGGAATTCAGGATAAAGCGCGTTTCGTCCTATTTGGGACTCGTCATCTGGATGTGTCTGCACTCCCAGTGAGTGATGATGTTCCCACCGAGGAGGCTGGAACCTAGTGCCCATAATTTCAAACACCAAAGCGTTATCCACTGTAGACCACTTGGGCCACGAGAGTCACGCTGGATCTTGTGCACGGGTTATATTAATTATTTAATTCAATTTTAGATTTTCCCGTAGATTGGCTGGACCGAAGTGCTCGTCTCATGTGGCTCTCATGGCCCAAGTGGTCTAGTGGATAACACTTTGGTGTTTGAAACTATGGGCACTGGGTTCGAGCCTCGGTGGTGGGAACGTCATCACTCACTGGGAATGCAGGCACATCCAGCTGACGAGTCAGTCCCAAATAGGACGAAATGCGCTTTATCCTGGTCTGTCTGTCTGTCTGGATTATCCTGGATTCCACTGCTAGTCACCATCCACCAGCTAACTTCCAATTTCATGCCCAAACATTGTCGAAGCGTCTGCACAAGAAGCCGACACGTGAACCTGAGACCGGGAAAATCTGAAATTGAATTGAATAATTATTATAACTGCCTATTTTTCTTGTGATTCTTGATTTCTTTGATTATTATTATTATTATTGATTTGTTTACTACTTCCTTGTTTATTTTTCTTTAGCTGGTAAATCGCACTTTTGTAGTCAGGTGTTGGCACCATTGGGTTATGAAATCATAAGCAGGGTAGGTTGGTAAATTCTTCTCTCTCCCGCTTATTTATTGTTTTTACTGTTGTTATTACCCACTTAATGTTGTTTTTAGTTAATTAACTAACTAACCAACTAACTAACTGCACACTGATTACATAATACATTCATAAATGGTGTAATCATATGCTGTTTACTTCTACCTGTTTATCAACAACCATTTTCTTCCTTTTGTATGTGTTGGCGGCTGAGGTATTTGTTAAAAAACAACTTATCTTCTCCTAGGCAGGCAGGCAGGCAAGCATACACGGACATGTTCATATGCTTCCGCTGTCACGTTATTATTATTGTTATTATTATTACTATTAATAGTAGTAGTGGCAGTTGTTGTTGTTGTTATTGTTGCCATTCTCCTCTGTTTACTTCGCGTTATGTAAGCATCACCTTGTCAAGTAGGCGTGGCCGATAATAAAATTAACAATTCAAAGAGAATCTAATAAGCATAGTTTATACACACACAGCTATTCTTAAGTATGTATACGTCTGTGTGAATATGTGCAGATTAATCTGTGCCTTGAATGTTACAACCAGCCTACACTTTCCTTTGTAAAAGGCTTGAAATTCTTCTGACTCTTACCTTCTTTCATCTTCTGACAAGTTTGTGATTGGTTTTTTGTCGGTCTCTTCGAGAGAAAGAGGGAGAAAGATGAGACTACTTCATCGTAGAAACACCTTACATTTCGATGAATCAACCACCTATCATCTTAGTGTGTGTGTGTGTGCGTGAAATTATTCACCTGATGAATTTCAGTGTCAGTTATTATTAAAAAGAAGTGGATTCCAACCTCTGATAGATGATCAGCGGTAGTGCCGGGGGGGGGGTTTGAAGTGAAAGACGGTAGTGGCGGTGAACAGTATACTTTGAAGTAATCCAGTGTTTTGATGATGTGGGTAGGTTAATAGGTAGCCTTCAGTTTTGTAAACGGTAATTGTGAAAATAGTTCACCGGTGATTCATGCAGGCTAATATTATACATATTTTGAAAGCTACTGTTTCAAAGTATATCAAAGAGTCAAGGTTTCTTCTGTCATCATGTGATGATAGGTTTAGAATTCGACATTTAAGTTACCTGGTATGACTGTGAAACATGGTCATTAAAAGTGGAGAATATGAAGTACCTGGCTGGCTGTCTTTGACTGTAGGTATCTGCGTTCTATCTCTCGTGTGTGTTAGCTGGTGACATAATAAGGTGGGTGAGTAATATTGTGAGAGGTGAAGCGTCGGTCGAGTGCTAGGTGAGGAGGAAGGAAAATGAGTCAATGAGGTTGTAAATTTACATGGATTGAAGGAGATGGTTAGGATATGTGTTATGTATGTCTAGCCAGCCAGCCATTATTGCCTTCCCGACAACGGATAGTGTTAGCTGACTGACATAGAATGGATGATGCTGATGGTAAACCAAAAAAATGGCTTCATCAGTCAATAAAATCCATAAGAGTTAGTTTAAGCCAGTCAGCCAGCCACGTAAAGAAGGAGGTGTGGACTTCCTAACTGACTGGTTGGCTGGTTGGGGTCTCGAGATGGTAAAAGCCAATGAGGCAGTGGCTGGAGACAATTGTTGATGTGGCTCAAAGTCAACCACAACGCAGATACATTCAATCTTTTTGATTTGTCAGTCATATACAATAAACGTCTATTGTTCTCCCACAATGTTACCATTGTTTCCCCTCACACTTGGGTTAATTATCTCTCCCTACTCTCTTCTGTCGCTTTGTTCGCTACATGGAAATAGAGCGGCAAGTCTGTCAGTCATAAAATGTGGTTATGATTATGGTTATTGATTTTTTTTAAACTGAAATAATAATGGTCGATTAACTCATTGCTGATAGAGGCAATCATTTTAGAATTAATATATCAGCAGTGTGACCAATTGTCTAGAGCAGATTTCTCGTGTGGGGAGATCATCTGAGCCATACTTAATTGTGCAAGTATTGACGTTACTGCCCAGTAGAGGTGCTAAAGATGAACTTGATATATATATATATATATATATATATATATATATATATATATATATATATGGTGGTCTCTCTTCTGTTTGCTCGCTTAGTCTATGACCATTTCACTTTGATGAACCTGTCTCCTTTAACAATGTATATTCCCCTTATATTATATATAATATGTGTGTTTGTTGACAGTCCGTTGCTTGGTGACATATATCCATATTATATGTGTGGTTATTGACATGTCTGCTATATTTTGCTATGTATATATGGATCGATACTCCATTATAATTAGCCATTCATGTTAAGACTGTCTATTGATTTTTCACACACTTGTCTGGACATTCATATATATTTTGCTCTCACAATCTTGTGTCACACTTTGGTGTGATACCACTTATTGCTTCACCTGGTGTTTTGGAAAATAGAAGTATCATCGCAAACCTAGTGGTCTTCTGATTTCGCCTTTTTGCTTCAGGACTATTAGATTCTCGACCAGTACATAACAATAATTTGGCGACGGGGAAAACTACTATTAACCACTCAGCAGCAGCAACATAACAGAACTAGATAGGGGAGAGAGGAATTCAGTACTACTGAGACCTGTTGGCTGGAAGAGGAGTGTTTAAGCCAATGAACCAAGTCTTTTCTACATCTATCATTGAATGTAAAGGGTTGAGGGAAAAATCATCAATGAGGCAAAGTAACTTAAATCATTGGCTAAAACGTTCACTGGTTCAGGTCACTATAATACTAGAAAAAAATTTTTCATTTGTTAGTTTGTGGGGATTCATGAGTCTGTTCACGATTGATATTGGCTTTTAGAACCATTAACAACTAGTAGTACTGTGGCGTGTCCTACTAGCAAGACTTATCAGTGGTATGTAAATGGACTTTCACCGCAGCACAAAAATAACAAATAGCAGAGAGAGGACCCAAAGCAGTATTAAATCAAAACATTGGAGACACGAAAAGAAGACAAAGAAAGACGACACTAAGGAACGCCAGAAGTAAATAGCACAACACAGAAGGTCTGTGAAAATGACGATTTTCAAATAAGGTGTACATAATTTCCCTATATATACACACAGATACCGAATTCCAAATAAACATTCCGTTACCAAGTCTCTTGTCTTCTCCGGTTACAGTACTAGACAGATAATTTCGTCCCGGTTTGAAAATCTTCAGCAGCACGCTTCCATGACCCCCACCACAGGGTGAGTTCGTTGACTATTCAATTCCCTGGAACGGAATCCAGCGACTCATGAATTCTAACCTCTGTTAATGAAAATAATTTTTTAATGCTACTTACTACTATTAGCCCAACACTTGATTACCTTATTAAGCCATACTGGCTATGTGATCGCTCACCATGTTATTTATTTGTGTATCGTTGGAAGCAGTTGAAGGTGTTTGTTAAACCATCCATCAGTAGTAGTAGTAGTAGTAGTAGTAGTAGTACAGCAAGACAAAAAGAATAACTAACAAGTGAGGAAGTACTTTAATTGGACACTAGTTACCTAGGTCTGAGGCCCCCTGACGATTTCCCACAACCATCTAATGTCAACAATTCAAAGTGTACCGGGATGTCGAGCCACCTAATGATGGTCACAATGCAAATTTGACTGACAGAATTCAGTCTGCGGTATACAAAGGACTAGACTCATGGTACTAGTTACTAACTGGTGTCCAATCTAACTATCCATTACAGTTCTAGAGGAGGTGGACCGTGAGTTCGAATAACTCATTGGCTATGTCTCTGACTGCAGCACTGGGCGACACGGGTTCGAATCCCAGAAGAGATATGAGTTCTTTCAAGATTGGAGATACGCCTTGCTGACTGACTGGTCAGAGTCGACAAGAACGAAACCTAGGCGAGATAGAGCTTCCTTCTTCTGATCACCCCAGCCATCTAAGTGGGAAGTACATCATCATTACACATGCTGTATAACAAATATCAAGTATTGATTTTGTAGGGATTTTTTTCATTTGCAAGGAGGATTTCATCATGAGCTGACATCAGTTAGATAACAGCTGTTTCGTCTTAATTTGTGACTCTTCCGCAGTACGCACCCACCACCAAGGGTTCGAACCCAAGTCCTTCTGGTTACAAGACGAGCTAGCTTGTAGACCATTGAGTCACTGGGACCCAATCCAATGGTCCTTGAATTCTGATGTCAGCTCATGATGAAATCTTCCATTCAATCGAACAAAATCCCCACAAAACCAATACTTGAAAATTAATCTGATGCACACACAAGCGACTGGCCTTATTCAGGCAGTTAACCTGGGGTTCTAGTGGGGAAGCCGTGTCCAGTAGGGTACAGCAAGTTGAAGATGAGATAGGAACTCACTCGTCGAAGAAGACACTGCGAAATGGTCTTGATATGTGGAGAATTGGCAGAAGTTAGAATTCATGCACTGGCTGGCCATTGGCTAGGGTCCCAGAGGCTGAATGGTCTACGAGCTCGCTAGCCTTGTAAGCAGAAGGTCCTTGGTTCGAACCCCTGGTGGTTGGTGAGTACTGCGGAAGAGCCCCAGACTAGGGCGAAAAACAGCTGTCCAGTATAACAAATACTCATTCAATAGTGTATAGCACTCATGATTGTAGCTTCTTCACTTTATAACTAACAAAGACACTATAGATGTACACTCATTCTCCAGCATGAAAAGTCCTGTCATTGTCAGTCTATTTTATGCACGCATAGCATATCTCATGAAAGTACAATATTTTGTTGTAAACTTTTATACACCACATCTGTTGATAGCATCAATTTTTTTTTTCTACTAAGAATGTGATAGTGAATATTGAAATTGTCAAAATATATAGTCTCAACCTATTTGACAGTGTATATACTGTCTGATTCCTCTGTTTAAAGTGTTTGCTTGCGTGTCTACATAGAAAATCATAAATTCATAATAGGCGATTGGTGGTAAGAAGGGCTGCAAACAAAGACTTGAAAAGTTTATCCCACTTGCTGAAAATTCAAAAAATAAATCATCTCTCATTGCATTGTCAAATCTTTTTAAATCT